CCGGGGGCTGGCGGCTCGCCCAATACTTCGGGTTACCAGTCCCGGGCTGACGTAATGCTATTAATAGCTTCCCGGGAGAACCGGCCCAACCGAGCTTAGGAAGGAGGGGTGGAGGAGGGGCCAAGGCGGGCGAGGGGCGGGAGGAGGGGGTGCCGGTGATGCAAGCAGGGGGAGGAGCGTTCTCCGTCCTCGCTCGCTGGGACACACACCCGCCCGCCCTCTCTCTCCATATCAGGGCCGGAGCCGCCCGGGCGGGTTGCCAGCTGTGCGTACTCGCGGCTGCGTGTTCCAGGCATGAGCCAATGGTGCCCAAGCCAGCTGCATGACTCCACCGCGCTGGCATCTCTCCCTCCGCTAGGTTGGGAAAGGGGAGAGGGGTGCAGATGGAGAGGGGGGGTGCAGATGGAGAGGCGGGTCCTGGCCACGACCCAGACTAGGTGAGGCTGGAAAACCATACGACCTTTTCTAAAATGCGTGGTCATTTTTTGGAGCGTCGGAGAAATGTCCCCTCCCCCTGCAGCGGCTTTATTTATTTATTTGTTTTTCAAACAGATATAGGGACACAAGCTTTAGGTTCCGGTGCGAGAGAGGTGTCCAAAGTCACCCTACCGTGAATCCACACGGTTACCCGCGGTATGACCTCCGCAGCTGGGACCCGCAGAAGCCGGCCTTTTACGCCAAACTCGCAGGGCAGCGCTCGGGGGCACGGGGCTCCCTAGTCCGGGCACACCCCACACGAGCGCACCAGAACGAGGCCAGAAAGTCTCCGTGCGGGTTGAGAATCCCACTCGAAGGCGAAGGCGATAGTGGGACGGTGTTGGTTCGGATCTTTTAACAACCACAAAGCGTTTGAAATTGACGGTGTGTGTGTGTGGGGGGGTGGTTTCTAGCGAAACCAAGAGCATAAAAAGGCTAGAGAAATCACCGGCAGCCCGAGAGGACTGCAGCCGAACATCCCGGGAGGGGGAATAGAGGTGCTTTGGTCTCCGCGGGCCGCGCCAGGGTTGGGGGGCGCTCTCCGGCTGTATATAGGGAAAACCCGTCTTCAGCTTTCATGCATTTTTCTGCTCCCGGAGCAGATTGGTCTGGGGCCAGACAGCCCCGAATGGGGATGCACTGACCACAGACAGAATAGGGCACCGCAGCAGAAATCCCCACCGCACTTAAGCCGGGGTGGCGGGAAAGGCGCGGTCTCGTGGCGCGGATTCCAGCCGAAGCCCCAGCTGAACTGAGTTTGAACCTTAGAAAC